AGCCGCTAGAAGCAGGCTATATCCCCTCGTTACCTTTCCAGGTTGCCTTGTCTCCAGCAGGCGTTGTCTCCAATCTGGACTTGCACGCCTAGCATTCCGGCTGTTTCGCCGAGCACTCCTTAACTGAGTGCGCCCAGCTTGTGCACAGCGGAAGCAGACGTCACTCCTGTTTATTGGACACTTACATTGCGTGCGTATGTTTCTGCTCTGGACATTTATAACATTAGAGCGGACGTTGCTCCAGGAGTCGTGCGCGCTCCAGGATTCAACTGACTTTGAGCTCTCTCCCTTTAGCGACCTTACCGGCCGCCATTACGGGGATCTGGGCCCATACGAATGCGAGTCCGTGATTTTCATCATCCTCAATTAATATCGGCGGCATTGTAGTCTCTACCAAGGCATCGGCTTATGGTCGAATTGTCAAGGCTTGTGATGCTAGCTTTTTATAGGGCTGAGCTATTTTGACGCCGTCTTCGTTACCGAGTATTCGGCGCACTTCTATCTCAAGGCATAAGTCTGAACAGCTCTCTCTCATAAATGACAACCTCATAAATGAGGCAATCTCATAAATGAGAGCCCCGATGAGGATTCTCCTCAATCGAAGGCCGCTGATGGCCAAGTCCTTAAAATTGATCTGGGACTTGGCCTTCGCCGCCATCTCGGCATACTTACTCGTCGAGCAAATAAGTACCATTGACCACCTCTCTGTCTAAGGGCGTACGATTTTCCACGAGAAGCGAATTTCACTCCATCTCCCCTCCCCCCCCCCGCCAAGGGGCGCGCGACTTTCGATGCAAAGCGAGTTTCTCCTCCTTGCTTCAAACAAAGAAGTATGGAATAATTTTTAATATTGTATATAGTAGAAATAAGACGTTATTTTTTCAAATTTTGTTGTTAATAATTTCTTAATGAATAATGAGCGGCGATTAAAATCTGTTGAAAGTCAATCAGGGGACCCTGATAACATATATCAAGGTCATCGCAGGGTCCGTATTTTGCATAGTTATCGTGTCAATAAATTAGTGTAAAAAAAAACACAAAGTTGCTTATTTAAAAAAATATTTACTTTGTTCATATTTTTTTTAAAGCAATTATATGTCTTTTTACCAATTGATCATCTCATTATTTTGTTTGTAAAAGTATTAAAATATGATCATCAAGAAATTAGTTTACAAGATATTTAATACTTTTATGTTAATATGTGTCGGAATAAAATATAAATTATCTCGTAAACACTATTGATTTTTCGATATCTTTATCTTAATACTTTTGTATGTAGAATAGTTATAAAAATCATATTATGTAAAAAGATTTATATAATTCTATTTTAAAAAATGGAATTGACTTTAAAATTTTTTTAACGCCTCCACTTATAAAAAAGTTTTGCAGTTTGTGTGGCTCGCTCGAAATCATACAACTTTTGTATATAATAGTTTTTCATACAACTTATTGTTTATAACAAGCTTTGTGAGGTGTGCAAATTATCGTATCCTGTATACCAGGTGTACAAGTATGAAAAATGCGGATTTTTTTTTTCAAAAAAACACGTTAAATTCAGAAGAATGATAAAAAGTGGTTTATTCAAAGTATGCTCCATTGCTAGTTACACATTTTTTCCATCTTTCGGGTAATTTGTGAATACCACGCCAGTAAAAATCTTCCCCTTTTGCCGCGAACCATTCATCGAGCCATTTTTTCACATCTTCGTATGAACCAAAGCGCTGCTCAGCAAGTGCATGACCCATCGATGCAAACAAGGTAATCGGAAGTCTGGTGAGTAAGCCGCATGGGCTAGTACTTCCCAGCTGAATGCTTCCAACGTGTCGCGAACCAATTTTGCCGTATGTGATGGAGCATTGTCATGGAGAAAAATGATCTTGTGTTGCCTTTTTCGATATTCTGATCGTTTTTCGAGTAGCGAATGGTTCAAATCGATCAATTGTTGTTTGTAGCGTTTGGTATTAACCGTTTCAGCAGGCTTTAACAGCTCATAATAGACCACACCCTTCTGGTCCCACCAAACACAGAGCATCGTCTTCTTGCCAAAGCGGAAGACTTTCGGTCTTGCGGTCGATGGTGCGCCTGAGTCTACCCATGATTTTTTGCGCTTGGGATTCTCAAAATATATCCACTTTTCATTCTCAGTAACGATACGATGCAAGAACGATTTTCTTTTGTATCGTTCGAGCAAAATTTCACATGTTTTTTTGCGCCTCTCCATCTGCCTCTCGTTCAACTCATGTGGTATCCATCTGCCGATCTTCTGAATCTTTTTCATCTCTCGCAAGCGATTGGAAACAGCTTGTTGACTAACGCTTAATTGCTCTGCGAGTTTGTGAATCGTCTTCATCCAACAATGCTTACAATTCTACATCTTCGTACCTTTTTGACGGTTTTCCGTGTTCCTTGTCTGCAACATCGAAATCACTACTTTTGAAACGCCGAAACCATCGTATCTTGCGATGGAGCATGTTCACCATAAGCTTCTCGAAGTAATCGATATGATTCAGCAGCAGTTTTCTTCAAATGAAAACAAAAAATTAATGCTATCCGCAAATGCTCTTTATTTGGCACAAATTTCGACATATTGAACATAGCAAAACAATACTATGCAAACACTTTTTCAATTTATCACTTATGCGCGTTTGACACTTGTTGATGGCACAACAAAATGGCATATACGTCAAATCTTTATACTACACACTGCATTAGTGCACCATCTGTTGTCTCAAATCCGCACTTCATACTTGTACATCTGGTATTGCCAATACTGAAAATTGATAGTTCACATTTTGTATATAAGAGATTTTCAGAACTAGCGGTATACGTCATAGAGATGAAAATAACCGAAAAAACCAAAAACTTTAAATAAAAAGACTCAAAGCAGTGTTCTAGAACTTAGTTTTTCATTTATTCAAAAGATTTCTGTGTAATTTAATAGATAACTATGAAAGTCAAAATATAATATAATGACTAATTGTAAGTGACAGTCATAAATATAAGAATAACTATAAATACTACTGTTTATAGTTATTCGGGCCATATTTTATTCTGTATTCTGATTTTAAAGGTTAAGTAAATGTTCCATACTATCGTTAAGACAAATAATATCTTATTAGAATAATTAACGCTGCTTCTGTGTGCTATGTTTGTTGTAATTGTATACGTATTCTAAAATATATATTAGTGAAACATTATTCATCGAACTGTCTCCAACTATTTTCAAATTGATATATTGGGACATTGCCTCAGTAATTAAAATTTAGAATACATACAATTACAACCAATATGAACAATAAAACAGTGTCAATTATACATAATAAAGCATTATCTGTATTTGTGTTAATAACAATATAGACCATTTAGATTTTAAAATCGTAGTAAAATATAAAATCTGTCGTTCAAATAATTATAAGCGATGAGTGTGCATAGATCATTGTCAGTGAAAAATATCAATTTATTTACACATCGCAAAAACGCAAGGATGTTCCTTTGATTTAGTATCATAAAGACAAAAAAATATTAAATATGTAATAACGAAATGACGTAGATATCAAACATTTTAACAATGAATGTAAAAAATTAATTCTATATCTTTTTCTGTATACCGATCAAAATTATATCATCTTTCTTTTTTTTTTAACATAACTTTTTATCAAAGCGAATCGAATACGTTCAAATTTATACAGCAAATGCTTGGTGGCAGGTGTACATAAAGTATAATGAGATTTGACAGTGTACATCATGATTTTTTAATTTTTTATTAATTTTCCCAAAATCGCATTATTGTATTTTCTTTGCTTTTTATGATACCGTTTTTACTGTTACCTAACCGTGACCTAATTTTAGTAGTTAGATTTAGTATTTAACATTATGACAAATACTCATGCTCAAGATATAGATGAATGACAACAGAAAGTCATCGTAAAGGGCCACAAACAAGTGGGGACATACATAAGAAGATCGCTTAGCAATTTGGCATTTCCAAAACAACAGACCAAGTTTCTTAAGCGTTGAAAGACGCTTCTAGCGAAGCTATGTTAAGAAGAAGAAGAATAATCGATCACATTACGCTACTTTTCTCGTCGATTGCAACATCCTTTGCATATCTTGCAGCAACCTACATTGTATAGCGCTGGACCTGCTAAAGAAATATCGACTTCTATGCAATCTAATCCGTTTGTACAGATCATACGCCGTCGCCTGCAAGTCGGAAGAGTGTGTGAACAGTGACCTGTAATGAAATCATTCATTTCCGCAAAGGATTGAAAGGCGCGAGTAGAGTGAGCCAAAGCATACTTCAACTAGACACCTCAACAATGATCTGATATCTTCTACAGCGACAAAAATAAGTTCATGTTGTTTAATAATGATGGTATAATATCCACACTTGTTTGTGACCCTTTACGATGACTTTCTGTTGTCGTTCATCTATATCTTGAGTACCACGAATATTTGTCATAATGTAAAACACTAAATTTAACTACTAAGATTAGGTCATGACGGTAAAAACTACGGTATCATGAAAAGCAAAGAAAATACAATAAAACGATTTTGAAAAAATTAGTAAAAAATTAAAAAATCATGGTGTACAATGTCAAATCTCATTGTACTTTACGTACAATGTACACCTGTCACCAAGTGTCTGCTGTATGAATTTGAGCCTATTCAATTCACTTTGACAAAAGTTATGCTCAAAAAAATCAAAAGATATAATTTTGGCCAGTACTGTATTTAACATAAATTATATATATTTTTCATGAATTCTATATCATTTTGATTAAAACCGTTTTCTATTTAATACTTTTTTCTGAAGTAAAAAAACCTGTTTTTTTTTTCATTTCTAGTATATCGAAATAGGACCTAACTCTGTTCAGAGATTTCCGATCAAAATTTGAAGTTTGCTTTAAATGTATTTTTAATTAATTGTAATTCATACACTCACACACTATTTAACTATGAACGTATTTATATATACGTTCGATATTCTGTTAACACAGTCAAGTCTCCGGAATCTCTGGGTAACCACTTGACGACATTGCTCTCGGAAGCAGAGCATAGAGTTCAAGAGCTCGGTGGCAGTACTTTCGGCAGCGGCGGAACAAATCTATTGGAAACACCTTGCCATAGAGCTAGTTTTACCACGCAACACAACAACCTTACTGGATGCGGTGGCAGCACAGAGAATAAGCAACTTGCCTTGTGGGAAAGAAGATCTAGAGCCCTCAGAAAAATGTTGCTAGGTTTCGACCAAGCGCGTGAGTAATAGATTTAATGTAAAATATAAAAGACAACAGAATAAAAATTAAGATTCTTTCCAATTCAAGAAACAATAAATACAATAAATTTAAGACAATAGGAATCTGCGCCGTAATTTATGCGCTGACTGATGTATACAATAATATATAAATATAAAAAAAAATGTAAGGTTAAAGAATAAAATTGATAATATATCGTCAATTAATGATAAAACAAAGACGAGACATTTCGGCTAATTTCTAGCTTTCTTCAGCGTTATAAAAAAACCTTTCTAGTCATAATGATAGTATAACGTAACGATCCGCTAACTTTCTCCCGCAACTCGAGTTCATCTCAAAATCAGTTCGCAAGCTGGATGTAAAGTAATTATTTAATTCCTTAAAACTGATCGGGATCAAACAAAAATCGCAATGACTAACATGAAAAATGTCGATGAGGTCACTTAAAAAATGCATCTAGATGATATATATTATATAATATATAAGCCCTCCGAGATAACATGAAGGGGTTACTAAACTGCTGATCGCAAAAAAGCAGGTGATCTTACTATTAAAAGTATCATTGTAAAAATCATTGAAAATGAATGGCGTTTTCAATAATATTTTATAACAATCCAGATAGCAAAATACCACCTGTCACGTACGTGCATACTTAAAGCTTACAGTACCGATATACTGTACTTTTGATACGCCATATCGATAAGATGTTACTAAAATTAATTAATTTTATAGTTTTATTACTAAAATGAATATTATTATTGATTAATATCTTATTCCAGAATACACATAAAATTATGATTAAAAAAAAACGTTTTTCCATGAATTCAGGAACTATAATTTCATAGTACTTCGAAGCGGTCATCCGATTACATACCACCATCCACTATCCTTGACTTCTGAAATCATCTGGAAATCACTGTACTTCGATGATCCACGAACACCTATATAATCATGGATGTATAGCTATGATACATCTGTTCAATATATGATCCTAATAAAAATTTGTTCAACTGAACATTCAGCCAGTTACTATCTGATATTTAATTTTAATGTTATAACGACTATTTTCAGATTAGAAAATCATATGTGTACTTTCTACTATAATCTTACTTAAATAAACTTACTATAATCATACTGTACTTTCGTAATCAGTTATTATGTATATCGTCTTTGACTAGAGATTTCCAGTTTCTCTCCTCGACAATATATAGTACGTCGTATTGATATGATACAGGTTATGTACCATGATGTACCTAAACTATGCAGTATAGGTACAATGTTGATACTCTGTACTATAATATTATGTACTCTTTTTGTACTGCTACCGTACAATTACGCCATACACCGCCACCTCGTAGCGGTACAGTAACAGTAGCGGTATTTTGTGCGAGTATTGGGGGATATTACTTGGTTATCTGGGGTAATATTTTACTATTAAAGATTTTATCATCAGTTAGTGATAAAATCTTCAGTAATAAAATATTACCATTGATAAAATTAAACCTTTAAAACTACTGAATTGTATAAATAAGTAGCTTTCAAAACGAATAATATTCCTATTGACAATAATCCAATGTGTGCGAGAGCGCACCGCGCGAAAGATTCGAGTGAGAAAACGGCACACGGTTGATATGATAAGCGACAGTAAAGAGAACTTCGTTTCTTTGTAGTTTAACAAAAAAATTTTCTTTAATATGCACAGTTACAAAGTCAAAAAATATAATTAATTAAATATTAGATTAACAGAATATTAAATGCGGTCACCTTTACCAAATTGTATTTGGAATCGCAGTGATGGAAAATCTCGGCAATTTTCTCGGCACTTCTCGAAAAGATTCGTTTTATAGCGGTTTTCACTAAGCAGTAGCACGGCGGTTTTATGAAGCGATATAGTAGCAAGACTATGACTCTAAGAACTCTAAGAACTTTTAGAAGTAAGAAGGAGGACGGCGAGATCGAAGCATTTATTGCTTTCGGCCTGGGCTTTCTTTTTGGAAAAAATCCAATAAAATTTTGCCACAATCGTAATTATTACGTGGCATTAGGTGTACAAAATTGATTGGCGCTTTGGATTCTTTTCTAACGACGTTCAACGTAACAGTCATGCGCGACAGAAAATCCGTACGTGGGATTGGTGACAGCGCGTGACGTATTCGTCGGAGCGCGGCGCTCGCGTGCGCGAATTGAATTGTTCTAGAACTTTCGATTGTCCGTTGCTGGTAACGACAACTTGTTTGCGTGTAACGAATTGTTTTAAAAAGAACAAAGAACGCCAAATCGATGATTTTAACGAGGATTAAGATCATGCTCGAGATGAAATCACGAGCTCAATTTATGCATGCGTTCAATGACAATTAATGTCGATCGACTGAAAGAATTCTTGCCTTTCTTTCGAATTACCGATCTCAAACACAATGGCAAAATATATCACTGATCGAATGATATTCCTATTGGACTACATCGAAATGATAAAATATTTTACCACTGACCGAGATATTTTATACTTTATTCTGGCACATATTGGCATAAAATGTTACACTCGTAAATAACTCAACTCGTAAATAACTCATATTAACTTTTCATATTAACTATTAACTTTTCGATAATCGTACCTTAATACTTTTATGAACAGAATAATGAGATAAATCAATTGTAAAAAAAACATAGTTGCTTTAAAAATGTATGTATGTGAAATGAGTAATTTTTTAAATAAGCAATTATGTTTTCTTTCCATTTAATTCATAAGAATTTAATTTATAATTGGTGGTGGTCAATTCTTTAGATCAATTTTTTAGATATAACGATTATAGTCGGATATATTAAGTTTGACATATACCACAAACATATATACGTTCTCAGGTAGAAATCTTAATTTTAATTCTCAGCATCTCCTCTCACAAAAAAAGAGGCACGATCATTGGTCTTTTTGACATATTTTTTTTACTCTCGCATTCAGAATTTCGTAAAAAGAATCTTAAATATGCAATTAAAATTTTATTGTATAATGATTACCCATTATGCCTTGTATTCAATATTATTTATAAAAAGATAAAACAACTTGTTAACAAAAAAAACCAATTGTTGAGACGAATAATTTCATAGAAAAAATTGAAAAAAGAAAAATGTTATGGTTCACAATTCCATTCATAGAGTCGATTTCAGAAAAATTTAGACATATAATTAACGATGTTGTTTCAAAATTATCTTTTTTTAATTTGATAAATTGTCTTGTTTTATCAAAGCACAAAAAAATGCTCTTACTACTTTTTTTCATAAAAATGTAATTTATAAAATATCTTGTAATAATAATTGCGATGCTACTTATGTTTGACAAATTGGCAAATAGTTAAATACCAGAACTTCTTGAACATAAGAATCACATAAAAAGGAATATTATCACTAACTGTGTCGTGACAAATCGCCGGTTATAATTTGAACATGAATTTAAGTGGGACGAAGTTGCAGTTTTGGATGTAAAGAGAAATTATAAGAAGAATTATGTAGAGAGAAATTATAAGAAGAATTATTATTTTAATTTCGGAAATAGTAATTATCAAACGAAAAAAAAAACGTCAATTTGAACACAGACACGAAATTACTTAACCAAGCGTACCACTGTTATTTGGATTCGTAATATTATTTATATTTTTGACGTTGTATTTTCCGGTTCCAAATTATATTAAAGATTTTTACCATTAATTCAATTCATTTCAATTTAAGACTCAGAGTCTCTGTCAGTTTAATAAAGAAACCTCGTCTCGTTACCTCAGAGAATTTATATTATATCATATAGATGCATTTTTTAAGATATTTCTCCGAGAAATTGAGTTTCAACAGATTTTTTTTAAATTTGGATATTATGTTTACAATAATTTTATCTATATATGGTTAAAATTTCAAAGATCCTAGCGATGCTGAAATGGAGATATTCACCTTCAAAGTTTCACTTTTCTTTTAACACATAAGCTCCTATATCAAGCCTAGCCAAAGTAACGTTTTAATACTTTGCGGCGAAAATTTTCTAAAGGTTTTTTAAAAAAATAAATATGTAATGTAGAAATATTGTAGAAACCTTATTAAAAAAATGGAGAGGCTTAGAGCAGTGCCGTTTCTGAATTAAAATAGTTTAAAATAATTAAAATAAAATAATTTAAAAATAGTTTAAATTTGTAATTTGATGAAATTTTTCTTCTCTCTCTCTCTCTCTCTCTCTCTCTCTCTCTCGCTGCAGTTTATGTTCATAAAACAAAGATTTTATTATAATGTGAGTACTTTTATTTTTAAGATCTTAAATGACATGCCGGAGCAATTAAGAAATACGTTGTAGGAATTGAGAGTGAAAAACAAACACGGCAGACCGGGAATATTATAATAAAATTCCGCAAACCGCCTTTACGAAAAAATACTCTTAATTTTGGGCGTTGAACACTCAAAAAGAACGCTCAAATTTAGGTGTTAAACATTTTTAAAAAACGCTCAAATTTGAGTGTAATTTCGGACCGTCAACTGAAGATTATATCCAATTAAAGGTTAACATCCAAAGAAAACCATTAAAATAAATGGCTTTGTTATATAAAATTAATTATTATAAATCTGTTTTATTCCTAAAATAATATTATTAATTTGCAACATTTTCCGAAACACACGACAAAATTATAATTAAAAAAAACACTCCCTTTCTCATTTGGGATTTTATTTCCTTATTTTTCTAAGCGGTCACCCTTCCAATATTGTACCCCAGCCAACGATGCTTGATCACTGTAATCGTACAGGAATATAACTGTGATATATCTCAGTAGGGCTTCAACATCTTTAGGTCTGCGTGAAACATCTTTTTGACAAACTTTGTCTAGGCTGCGTTTAGAAACATCATCTGAATGCTCCTGTTTTATTATTCTTGTTTCACATTGGACAACAAGGATAAAACAATACATGGGGGCACTCGGATAATGTTTCGAACGCAGCCTAGATAAATTTGTCAAAAAGATGATTCATGCGTATAGTATTAAAATATATTTCTTTCATAAGTGAATCTGGTAGCGTATCTATATTCAACATTTCAGCGTTAATTTTCAATCATAAAGATTAACATTCAAGTGACACTTACATTCAATTTTAAAAATAACATTCAAAGATTATTAAGCCATTTAAAATTTCCACTCATCTATTGAGTAAACCGCGATTGGGTATTACCATCAAATTCGATGTATAGTATGGCGAATACTATAACTAATCACCAAACTATTCATCGAATTGAATGATCACACCCAACTGAAACATTAATGCTCAATGCTTAACTGACACTTAATATTGAGTGTCTACATCAAGGCAATACCGAATATTTATGGTCGTTCTCAACTGACACCCAACATTGAACGCTTAGTGACACCCAATGTTAATAGTCAATACTCAATTTTGATGGTAAACACCTAAATTTGAGTGTTAACACAATAAATTGAAGGTTTTTTCGGGCGAAAAATGCACAAAAAAGTATATTCTATGAAGGAGTGAAAATGTATAACTTACCATATGAGATAAAGCAATATGAAAGGCTAGAGCTATTTAAAAGAGCAATAAAGAATATATAATATCTACGAGGGCAAGTCAATAAGTTCTTAGAAAATCTGTCAGAGGGCATTCGCAGTGTCATGTCGCATTACTTTTTGATAAGTAGCATCTTTCAGCTGATTACTGTCAAATTTTGAGCAGAATTCATCGCGTTGTTTCTGCAGACGATTAAAGCGAACTTTGTATTTTTTGCAAAATGGGAAAAAACGAGTGCAGTGATCAAACATCTACATATTAAAGGTATAATGCCGAAAGAAATCAAAGCCGAATTGGATAATGTTCATAGTACATCTGCACCAGCGTTTGCGACTGTATACAATTGGGTGAATGAATTTAAATGTGATCGTACATCCACATGTGATACACATGTGTCGTTCAGGATGACAATTGAGGCTGCTACGCCAGAAATCCACGATATTATTTTGACTGATCGATGAATGAAAGTGCGCGAGCTTGTTGAGGTCACAGACATATCACATGGCATAGTGATTTCAATTTTGCGAACAATTGGGTATGAAAAACTATCGGCAAGATGGATGCCGTGTTTGCTCACTGTGGATCATAAGCGCGACCGTGTGACGATTTCAAAACAATGTTTCAACGTAATCCAGATGAATTTCTGCATCGATTCATTGCTGTAGACGAAACATGGATTCATTACTTCACACCTGAGACAAAGGAATAGTCAAAACAATGGACTTCACCGAGTGAACCAGCTCCGAAGAAGGCGAAGACCATGAAGTCAGCCGAAAAGATGATGGTCACAGTTTTTTGGGATGCATGTGGTATCGATTACCTTCCTTCGAAACAAACGATCAATACTATGCAACCTTATTGGACCGTTTCAACAACATTTTAAAGAAAAAACGTCTCCATTTAGCGAAGAAGAAAGTGCTCTTCCATCAAGATAATGCACGGGTTCACATGTGCCTGATACCGATGACCAAATTCAACGAATTCCGCTACGAATTGCTTTCCCGTCCAGCATATTCGGTAGATTTAGCCCCCTGCAACTTTTTCCTGTTTCCAAACCTAAAGAAATGGTTCGGAAGAACGAGATTTATCACCAGAGAGCAGCTCATCGCCGAGACAGAGATTTTGAAGGGTTGGACAAATCATATTATTTAAGACGACTTAAAAAAGTTGGAGAATCGTTGGATCAAGTGTATCGAGCTGAAAGGAGACTATGTTGAGAAATAAAAATGAATCGATCAAAAAAATGTATTCTACTATGTTCTTCTAAAAACTTATTGACTTGCCGTCGTAATGTCACTTAAGTTTAAGATTATTACATTATTGTATTGTTATTGAAATAGCTAAGAAAACTAATAAAAAATTAATCAATCAATCAATCTCTCTCTCTCTCTCTCTCTCTTTTTCTCTCTTTGTTTCTTTCTCTCTCGCCGAGCAGCGAAACAAGGACATGCTGTTGCCACATTTCCAATTGTCTTCCAAGTGCCGACTAATGTTCATGCATATAGATACGACACATATATGTGTGTATATTAGCCTTAAAAGTTTCTTTTTTCAGAGAGTACGCGGAGAACCTATATTCACAGGTTGTACGCGATTAACTTTCTAGCATGATTGTAGCCGAAGAAATATCTTAAGTGACCTCATCCTCGACTCTTGTCAGGTTAATCATTGCGATTTTTGTTTCATTCTGACCAGTTTTAACGAATTAAATATTGGCTTTAGACCATCTAGCTTATGAATTTTTGTTCTTGATGTGTTGGTTTTGTGATGAGCCCTTTCTGCCCAATAGTTATGGAAGGAAGTTAACGAATCGTCACATTTTACTACCATCATGATTAGAAAGGTTTCTTTCACAACGCTAAAAAAAAGCTAGAAGTTAACCGAAACATACGTTGTCTCGTCTTCGCTTTGTCATTAGTTGACAATGTTTTATTAATTTTATTATTTGATTCTTAACATTTCTTTTATATTTAAATATTATTATATACAATAATCAGCGTACGAATTGCAGCGCAGATTCCTATGCCTTGAATTTATAATATTTATTTTATCTTTGATATAAAAGATTTAATATTTCATATATAAATATTTAATATATAGTATAAAACGGTTAATATAAATTTTCGGATTGTGTTGTGCCCACCAAAGTTATACAAACATATAGTATGTAAATATGAAACCGGAATTTATCAATAGATGGCCATAGCTGTCAATATAATTGCCGTCAGACCGCGTCATTGACGCCATTTCCTTGTTCTGACATCTGACAAAGATTTTCAATTCACAACAATACAAGTTTCATACAACAGTATAGTTTGTAATAGCGTTGAACATGTCGAATTTTGTGCCTGGAAACTACGATTTGCGGACAGCATTGATTTTCTGTTACTATTTGAAGAAAACTGCTGCAGAATCGCATCGAATGCTTGTCGAAGCTTACGGTGAGTATGCTCTTGGTTTTAAATTACAATGCTTTGAGTGGTTTAAAAAATTCAAAAGTGATGATTTTGACGTGAGAAACGAAGAACGTGGAAAACCACCGAAAAAGTTTGAAGACAGCGAATTGCAAGCATTGTTGGATGAGGATGATGCTCAAACTCAACAACAACTCGCGGATCAATTGAATGTGACACGAGAAGCCGTCTCTATACGTTTGAAATCCATGGGGAAGATCCAGAAGATGGGAAAATGGGTTCCACATGAACTGAATGAAAGACAGCAGGGAAACCAAAAAACCACTTGCAAAATGCTGTTCGCCAGGTACAAAAGAAAGTCATTTCTCCAGCGAATTGTGACTGGCGATGAAAAGTGGATATATTTTGAGAATCCTAAGCGTAAAAGATCATGAGTAACTCCAGGCGAACCATCGACATCGACTGCAAGGCCAAATCGCTATGGACGGAAGACAATGCTCTATGTTTGGTGGGATCAGAAAGGTGTGATCTATTATGAGCTGCTAAAACCTCGCGAAACCGTTAATACTGAACGCTACCGACAACAAATGATCAATTTGAATCAAGCTTTGCGTGAAAAACGACCGGAATATCAAAAAAGGCAACACAAAGTGATTTTGCTTCATGATAATGCATCATCACACACAGCAAAACTGGTCAAGAAAATGATTGAAGCGTTTGGTTGGGAAATACTTTCGCATGCGGCTTACTCACCAAATTTGACTCCGTCCGACTTGATTACTACTTATTTGCATCGATGGGACACGCACTTGCTCAGCAGCGCTTCACTTCTTACGAAGATGTACGAAAATGATTAGATGACTGGTTTGGCTCAAAAGAGCAACAATTTTTTTGGCGTGGCATCCACAAATTGTCAGACAGGTGGGAAAAATGTATAGCTAGCGATGGGCAATACTTCGAATAAAATATTTTTTATCATTTAATTAAAAAATTCCGGTTTCATATTTACATATCTGGTATTTAGCATCTTTTTAAAAGGATAAATTTGTAACGCATACACAAATTCTTTTACATTAAAATATAAACATTTACTTCAGGCCCACCCGATATACTTTTTTTAATCACGATCGATGTCACTGGGACGACATCAGTAACAGTCAGGTTTCAAGAACCAGACTCGCACGACTCTTCGATCTGTACTAAATTTAAAGTTCAATGGAGCCTGCACGATGACTTTTCGGTTATTTGCGGCGAGAGGGAAGTCTTGAACATGAAGCAGAAGGAGTATCGGATCGAAGATCTAACTCAAGGTCAAAAATATCATTTTCGTGCGGCCGCAGGAAATTTGAAGAGCTATAGCAGGTTCAGGAACTCGACGCCATCATACGTTACACCTAGCAGTAAGTATACATATAGCGTCAATCTTGTTATTATACCGTTACAGCAGTACGGTTACATGGTATGTATAATGATAATTATGTGCATTGATATTTATAACTATAACACGTTTAAATATTCTTGATTTTAATAATACAAATAATACAAATATTTGTAATAACTTGAAGGTTGGAGAGACATAGATGGTAGGATGCCCAGATTTGCAGGACGGCTGGAACAGCTTAACAGTCTGTTCACTGACATAAGGCGCCCAGAATATACGCAAGAAACGCCAGCGGTGCAGAGGCGAAATTACAAGAAGAAAACAACGATAAAGCAACTCTTCACTGCAACGAGTAAATTCCAGAAAAATCTCAGACGAGGAGTGTTTCTAGCGTGTCTGCTCTACCACGAGGACAAGGTTCTTGTTACCAACGAGGACTTCTTACCCGTAATCGAGATCGACGAGACGTATCCCAGTTGTATTTACAATGATTTTCATTGGCTCATGAAAGTTGCCTGTACATGGGATGATGTAAAATTCCTTCGACAGGATATGGAAAAGAGTCACAGCAGCTCAACTAATCATTTTAGGTTAAAGTTGCTTCAAGCTGCTGCTCAAATGCAGGTAACATTGTGTATTGTTTATTAAAAATACTTATGTAGCTTAACTATTCATGAGCTCATATTGCTCAATATATAAAAATACGTATAGATAAACATTCTATGATATTTTAATCCACTTTGCAGGCTGCATTGTGCATACAAGACCTTGGACAATTATATCATAAGCCCATTAGAGACATTCAAGGCACCTTAGTGTTTTCGACAGTAAATTATATAAAGTCACCAAAATTGATTTCTGTATTAAACAGCAGATGGTTACCGCTCAGTAAAGTTATAAAGAAGGTCATAACGCACGAAGACAGTAACGTCGCTGACATCTTGATGACCAGCATACAAGAGCAAATGACATATCACCAAGTCAGCAGTATTAAACTATCTAAGGGATTATATCTCGGTTATCTGAAAATGCAAAGCAGTGTTGATCTCATACAAGTTGTTGTCCCAACGAAATCTCCGAACGTATTGCCACATTGCAAGATTCGCGACAATTCGCACGTATCCGCGTAAGTTTACGTTCACTGAAATTCATTAAAACACAAAATATCACATTTCTGAATTATTTACTATATTATCATATCTTTGTTTTTATCTGTCAAGAGAGGAGTGGGATTATCTGAAGAGAGTAACACACATTTGCATGTCTGAGACATCTTCCGTAGAGGAATCTGAAGAAAAGGAGAATGTGACAAACGAGGCGCAAGGTACAGACCAACAAAAACTGTTTGTTGATCTGGTTGCCGCAACAGCGCGACGTCTATTCAATTACATGGAGATCAGTCCAGAGGATTCGCTGGTGCATCGATTATATGACGCTGAGGTGATAGATCTAACTCACGATGTCTCATTCCTTATCGCCGTACCACCTGCTGAAACAGCCTGCTGCGTACCTGGCACGCGAGAAATCCTGCTACAGCGCAGTGATCTCTTGTCGTTGCCCATTCAGGTCTTCGAAATGGTCCACTTGAATACATATCAGAAGGATGTAATCAATCGTTACTCGAGACTCAGTTGTATCTTGGAATTGGACACCGCACAGGCTCAGCATAATCATAGAGAGGCCTTCAGTTCCTTGGAGTTAAGCGTTGCGAAGGACAAACTAGCGAAACTACAAGATCTTCAAACACAAGTGAACACCGTATGGAAAGGTGCCAGATGGCTAATTGATGTTATAACTTTCGCGAGAGATCGCGGCTCCTCCCAACAAAACGTAATTATTATTACGTAATGTTTTATGTAACGTATTTTATTGTATTTATCTTATAAACTTATTTAAACATTTTTTAATTTTATCGTTTGTGATTCATTTATCGATACTTTCTCACAGATCGCGACGCAAACTGTGGGCATATCTATGAAGCATCTACTCAGTTTGGATAGAAATAAGAACAACAGTAATAGCTTGAAACGAAGTTTATTACAATTACCACCTAGAGATCCTAAACTTGTAAAATCGAGTCCTGGCCGTGGCAGCTGGCCAGGTCCCAATCTGTCGAAATCATCTTCTAACCTTCTTATGACAGAATTCAGCAAAAGTGAACAACAGCTGCCCAGTGGACAGTATGTACTCAAAGGTAGCAACACCTCAAACACGTCGACAACTTTGGAGCCGCAAAAATCGTTGTGCACATCAATAAATAGCAGTAGCAATCTATCAACCACCAGCAGCACGAATCATCTGGTACCGCTGCAGAACATGAGATTACCGCCTTCCAAGTCCGAAGACACATTGATCTTCGCCAAGTACAAACACAGCCCACGAAATCGTTCTGCTACGATAACATCGGCATCAGCTAACACCAGTCCGTTACTGAGTATTAAACCTATCATTTATAGTGGTTCGTTATTAAGTGTCTCCACGGCGATGACGAATACTACAAGTCTGCTTAGTGTGAGCAACACGAATTCCGACAGTCTGCACTCATTGAGTAGCGACGAGTATCCCGCGTCAAATTCGGGCGTCTGTTTAAAATCTGGCCACTCAGTCAAAGTCAAACCGTCCAAACCGACCGCGAGCGTCGCGGCGATGGCCGCCACTCCGTCGGATCTAGACGAAGAGAAGGAAGAGGCAACGATGATGCCAGCACCATTACCAGGAATTCTTCAGGTATAGCCTTTAATTTTGCAATATACTCTTCCTCGTACTAAACTGTTGAAATTGGCGCTCAAGCCAATTTATATATATTTTTTCTTTGTGTCATAAGAGTACGTTCATTTAACTACGTGTAGTTTACTTTTCACAGTACGTGTAGTGTACTTTACGTTTCACTTTTAGTTTTTTAGTGTGAACTAAGTTGATTGCACTGCGTTTTAACCGCGCGCTTACTCTCACTTTTTACTTCTGTGAGATGACATTGTATTTACAAGAAGTTAATAAGTCAATATATCTCAATTTTCTTTATTCTTAGTTTTTACAAAAAACTTGTGTTTAATACGTATAAAAAGAAGAGTATAAGAAACCACAGCACAAGTTATAGTTTGTGATATTTAATTATTATTAATTAAAACATTAAACGTTTCGGCCACAATCTGGCCATCTTCAGTAAATTCATAATATTCTTAAAACGCAGACGCAACTTGTGTTTAAGAATTTATTAAGCCTGCCCAGAAGAAACTTTAATAGCAACATTAACAAGCAACATTAACATTAATTAATTATACTAGATATTTCGAAAATTTTAATCTTAGTAACATTAAATCCTTAGTAACATTAAATCCTTTTCCTTCCTGTAGGGAACACAAGTCTAACCCGATTATAATAAAAAAGATTATAATAAAACAGATGTTTACTTGGTCCTCTAGTGTAAACTAATGTAGTGGACATATTAACACTTTGACGGCCGCACTTTTTAGAAAAAAGTTTGCTCTTGCCGCCGACGTATAATGATGAAAACTACTGGCTGCCATCGGCATTTTTTGTAAGCTCTGTTACATATTAATTCTTTATCATTGTTGCCTGATACCTCATTGTTAACATTCGAAAGATTATCAGTATACACCTCGTCACTTTCACACATTATTTTTAGGGATACTTTCTTTAAGTTTATAAATAGAGCTTTTGATATATAACATATATACTATTTACTAATATAATTCCTTGAGCCATCTGTGTTGTTGCTGCCATGTTGCCAAAAATAAAGTGCATTAATTTTCAGTAAATTCAAAACAAAGTATATAAGTCATGTACATATGGTATGATATCGTGAATTCAACATTTGTTGCTACCAACTTGCCGTGTATTTGATGTCAATAATGAATGATAAATCAAAATTTTTCCATGAATGGAAGTCATTTTGTTGACAACGAAATGAGCAATAGTTGCTCTCCATTTGCTCTGAATCTAAATGTTTCAAATCTGCCTTCGTGTTGTTGAATATCTGAATGTTTCAAATCTGTCTTCGTGTTGTTGAATAGGTATGATTATGTATTACGTTTTCAGCAAATATACAACTAGTCGAAAATTTGTGCTCCGCTTAAATTGCATGATATTGCAAAACATGTTGACTATCAGAATAGTGTATATATAGAGTATTTCAGACCACCTCGTACACTCCTTTTATTTCGGAAACAGAGCTTTTCAGAAAAAAACATTTTAAATAAAAGTTGTGGAGTTCTAAATCTGTTTAGTGATCTGATCGATCTGACCTTAGGTAGCGTCAAGGTCAGAGCAATGTCACATTGAATTTTTTAAATGGAATCCTCTATTTTTCATTGTATATTCTTGTAGCATACCTCGAGAACTTTCCAAGACATTATAATAAAATATTTGTTCATGAAGTATTTTTCGAGTTACAAGGAAAGTTACAGTACCGCTGACACTAACAAAGTGTCCGATCGACGGTTAAAATCTCTCTTGAATGTTGTTCAGGATCATGTCCTTAAAATCAAGATCACTGGAGAGATTGTTTTTCTTATTTTCATTTTTAGAAATGAATTTTTAATGCAAAAATGAAAATAAGAGAAATCTCCAATGACCTTGATCTTGACAAATATTATCCAGGTTATGATCCTGAACAACATTTAAGAGGTTTTAACCATTGGACACTGCGTAATGCTAATGTCGACGGTATTGTAACTTTCAAGCCATTATAATTCGAAAAGTACTTTGTGAAAAAATATTTTATTATAGTGTTTTAGAAAGCTCTCGAGGTGCGCTATAAGAATATGCAATGAAAAATAGGGAGTTTTATTTAAAAAATTCAAAGTGACATTGCTCTGGTAACGCTACCCAAGGTCAGACTGATCAGATCACTAAATAGATCATTTAAAACTCTATAACTTTTATCTAAAATGTTTTTTTCTAAAATGCTCTGTTTCCGAGATAAAAGGGATGTACGGATGATCTGAGATACCCGGTATAACTATATAGTATATATATCATTTATATCTTTTGCAACTGTCAATGCCAGCTAATAATCACTAACTAAGATCTGTGATTCGGGGTCTACAATAGAAGTAGAGTCATAGCGGTCGTAGAGTCTTAAGTCGTTGAAAATTTACTAATTATAATCGAATATGAGAAGAATAATCGACTATGATTGATCAATTTTCTATGACTTAAGATCCCGTTATGACTTCTATTGTAGACCCCGTATTAGACAATAGGGCCGCAAGCCGTAAGAAATTAATCAGCCAGTCGTTAGAGTCAAGTCAATATTGACGATGCCACCTAAGATCGAACTAATAAAACTTATAAATACATCTTATTAAATTTTATCATTTTTGTTTAAGACATTTTCCTCAAAAATGCAGATATTAGACTGTTTCCAGATTTTTGATATATTTTTGAATGCTTATTACTCGGCTTCTAAGGCTCATTAGCGAGAACAACTTTACAGATGTTCACTTGGTAGGCTCCTCTAACATCGCTGCAAGTTTGATTAAAATCGGTGAAGAGCAGAGCGTAGCCTCTCCTTCTCAATGAACTCACGTATATATGAATCCGGCTGTCAAAGTGTTAAATAAGCTATCACATTGCTAAATTTCAACGCTTGATCTGTTCGGTTATGCTTAATGTGCTAAAATCAGTATAGTAGCATTACGATCATTTTACATCTCATAATACCTATTAAGAGTGATTTAGTTTTGAGGATTTTTTTTCCTTAAAATCTAATTTATTTAAATAAGATAATGAACACCTTAACGAATACCTTAATCAAAATATTTTCCTTCGTTTTGTATAACTTTTTCCCATCTTTTCAAAAGATGAGAAAGATATCCAATCTTGGCAAAAGATTGATTCCAACGCATCGATAAAAAGATTCTTCTTCGGAGTTGATCCAATTTTCAACAAATGTTCGCACATCTTTGGAATTATGAAAGCATGTATCTTCTAGAGCATGTTGCATTAACCAAAATAAGTGAAAATCAGATGGAACAATACTGGAGAATACGCGAAATGGTAAGACTCCCCATTCCAGCTCTAATGGCGTTTGCTTCACTGAAACATGAGGTCGAGCATTATCATGAATAAGAACCACTTGGCGTCGTTTACTCGCAATTAGAGATCATTTTTAGTCTAATGCTTCAATTTGTATAATTGTTGTCTACAACGATACAGCGGTGACAGTTTCTTTCAGATTTAACAGTTCATAATACACAATACTTTCTTAATCCCACAAAATACGCAGCAATACTTTTGAACCATGAATATTGCGCCTTGAAATGAATGTTGCTGATTGAACAATCCATAATTTTTTTGTTTGGGATTATCAAAATAGTTCCATTTTTTCATTCAGAGTAATAATTTGATACAAAAAAACTTCTTTTTTGTCTGGTGATCAACAATATGCAAATATTCAATCAGTGTGCAATGGCATTTTTCAATAACTGATGTAGAACCTATTTTCCTTTTTTGTGAATTTTTTCAATATCATGTAAACGTTTAGTAACTGTTGTGTACGATTAACATTTAATTCTCTGACAAATTCTGAAATGAATTGTTCTGGATTTTTGTCCAATAATACTTGTAAATCTGCATTTTCCAGCTTTTTTGCCGGTTGTCCCGAGCGATCTTTATCGTTAACATTGAAATCATTACTTTGGTATCATCTGAATCAATATTCACATGTTAATCTTAATTGATAGAGCAACATTATTAGAAGATTCTATTAGAATTCTATAACCTTCAGCTGCCATTTTTTTTTATTAGAGAAAAGACTCCTATTATGAGATACCGAGTTCATTTTGAGTAAATGCTAGAAGTCTATAGGCAGAATTTTAAAAAATAATAAGTCATTTTGAAGGGAATTTAATAAGCTTTAAAGTAACGTTATATAAAATTTATATAATTCAAATTCAATTTTTTTTTTGAAAATTAAAGTAATGTAAAAAGCGAGCAAATAGTAAAGTCAAATAATTATGCTCCTGAGATATCCCGAAAAATCGATAGTAAAACGCAATATATCAGTATATTGCAATTAGAAAAACTTTATTTAATGTTTCTGAAATACAAACAGCCAGCGTGCGCGAAATATAAACATACGATAGATTATACTCAGAACCAGTTTTCAGATAGTTGGAATCAAGCATCGCAGATACAGGCACTTGATATTCATTCCGAATATCTTTTATTATTGTACAATAACATTTATACTTTAGCAACGATTTTCACTATAACATAGGAGTATGAATTATTTCATATTAGAAATATCTTATCTTAGAAGTATCTTATATTATATTACGATTTCTTTATGGTTTTACGATCAAATCCAACTTCTATAATTAAACAATTCAACATATCCTGTATTTTTTTATTAATATGACCTTACACTACATGAAGAATTTATTGCAAAATATTTATTCAATTAAATAATAAACAAGGATAAATTTTCGAAAACGTCCAACACCCGATTATCATGAAATTTTTTTTTTTAATACTTCAAATGAATGCTCATCTTCGACTTTCATCTCTCCTCCCCCCTACTTTAGGAGCGCACGACTCTCACCTTCGACTCTCACCCCGCCTCCCCTCTTCTGCTTCAGGGGCGTATGATTCTCATCTTCGATACTCTCACCCCCCCCCGTCCTCCCTGCAAAGGAGCGCACGACTCTCCCTTCCTCCCTCCTCCCCCTGCAAAGGGCGACTCTCACCCCGACTTTCACCCT